AAACTTTAGCACGGCATTCCTCCTTGTTTTTCCACCTCCCACTTACCCTTCTTTAGTCAGCTAAAACCAATGCTTCATGAAGCCCAGAGCCAAGTCCTCATCTCAACTTGGATGTGCTATTTAAAGAACAAGGGATTTGTTTCATATTTTCTGGTCCATAGAGGAATCTCTACCAAGGGTCTCCAGCAGTGCAAGAACTTTCTCAGAGCATCACCACCCTCAAAAGAGGGGATAACAGGAGTCTAGGCTGTGAAGGGGAAACTTTAGCACGGCATTCCTCTTTTTGTTCCACCTCCCACCCACCCTTCTTTAGTCAGCTAAAACCAATGCTTCATGAAGCCCAGAGCCAAGTCCTCATCTCAACTTGGATGTGCTATTTAAAGAACAAGGGATTTGTTTCATATTTTCTGGTCCATAGAGGAATCTCTACCAAGGGTCTCCAGCAGTGCAATGCCATATACCAGAAGACAGGCAAGTAGCACCTAGGCCAACCTGCAGGAGCAAAGAGGCGATCTGTTTTCCCTAATTTCCTCTACTTGAAAAAAATAGGTCAGCTCTCCTGCCGTTCTGCTGAGAACCCTACCTGTCTGTTATTGTAGTCTTATGCCTAATGGAACCCCCTTTCAGACTTGTTTCTTCCAAACCATTATCTGTTCTTTGCATTAGTCTGGTGTGATACAGATTAGAGGGTGCAGAGATCACAGACATTAAAGCAGAATACAAAGAAAGAGGAGCAGAATAGAAACACCAGTAAGTTTTTTATAAAGGAAAAAGAATGTGACAGAAGGGAGAGAGATTGTGAGAATGAGTTGGCAATTATAAAGATCAGTGTGTCTGCAATATTAACCAAAAAAAGAATGGGAAAGCATAAAGACCAAGATACCTTATTCCAAGTGAATGAACAGCAAGCGAGATCTCAAGATAGCTAGCCCTCTCTTTGTCTCTCTCTCTCTCTCTATCTCTCTCCTCTCCCTTTACAGTACCACATTTTGCAATGAACCATACTGTGGGAAGCAATCCTAGGAACAGCTGCACAGCAGTGTGTGTGACTGTGTGTGTGTGTGTGTGTGTGTGTGTGTGTGTGTGTGTGTTTGGGCAGCTGAGACTGCTAACTGACTATTGCTTGAAAGAAGGGCTTCCCTGGTGATGTATTTAAGGCAGTTTGCAGAGCTCTGGCTTTGCTGTTTATTCCATATACATGAGGGTTTTCCTTTTGCCAGGCCTATCACATTCATCTACTCCCATGTTTCACTTCTTCTTCAGGTGAAATATCACCACAGGGGTGAGCACCAAAATGGCCAGAGTGCAAATAGCTGTGATAGATGTTTCACCCAGGGAAGGAAGAAGGGAAGCAGGGCCTGGTGTCTGTTATTGCTCAGAAGCTGTACTGTCATTGCCTTGTATATAACCAAGATGGTTCACAGTGCCTCCATGAGTGCTCAGATAGGATCTTCCATGGACTTAAGCTAACTTCAGATGATTTTGCTAAACACACTAATGTTTCATGGCTTTAAGACAAAGTCATTGCTAATGCTAGCTAGTAGGAGCTGCGTTGGCACGGCATTATTGCTCTCATATATCTACTGCAATACAAAATTCAGATTATCAGCCCTTCTCAGATTACACACATCTATGAAAATAAATCACTAAATATGAAACATCAGTCATTTCAAGGAGGCTGGGAAATCCCCCTGAAGGACAACCCTCTGAAGGACAATAATATCCACGAACATGCTATCCTGAGGACTGCTCTGTGCTTTGAGGATTTCATTTTAATTGTTTTAGTTCTATTCTATTTCTGGAGAGGAAATAAAAATATTGACAGGGGATGACTCTGGGAATCAGCCCACACATGGAAAACATACCCTACTATCTCAAATTGATCTAGGCAGGGCTAGCTTCTCTGAAGGAGATCACATGAAGGTAATTCCAGTGTGTTTCAGGCAAGGGCTTTTACCATTGGATGTGTACACAATGCTGCTGCCTCCCCACCCTCCCCTTTCTCCAGCAGCTCTCTCTTTTGACACATCATTTTAAAACAACAAATGGTGTCCAGTCTTTAAAACATGGATGTTGGTGTCTCCCAGTACCTAGGCAGCAATTTTCTTTTGTCCACAGTCTACACGGCAGCAATATAGAGCACAGTGTAGACCCTTGACTTTGATTCACATAGTCCTCCTAAAAGTCAAGCTATTCAGTGCCTGAAAGCTATTGCTCCCTCCCTCCCCCCACACTGTATGTAAGTATCACATATGTTCTTTCTACAAATTGGTATACAGGTGCCATTTAATCAGTTCAGATTCAGAAGCTACATCTTCAAGGGTCTGAGAGTTCACTCCCCCCATATTCCCCCTTTACATATTTTCTTATAAGACATACAGCTTAATCAATTAACAAACTAAACAGCTTATATACTGGCAATATGTTACAGATGGATTTATGTCAGAGTAATAGATCACATGAAATGGACCATGTGGTACCCCAGTGCATGGTGTCTTGGTAGAGCCCTGAGGACACTGACAGGAACATCTCTAAGTAGTGCTGTGTGAATACAGACACATGCGGATCTGTATCTACATCCATCTGACTAGGCCAAAAGGAGCAGGTAGATGCAAGATAGAGACACACACATGCTGGATGGGGCCACTGCACACCTTGTCATGCCGTTTGAAGGGCAGTTAAGGGTTGCTGGTTTTGCAGCCATTTAAATTACACTTTAGGGAAAGGCTTCTCTAATTGTGTCTGATTTGTTTTGTGTAGTAAGCACTGTTGGAAGGAGACCAAAGCAAGAGCAACTAGAAGTTAAGTATACATTTCAGCTTAGCTGTGATAGAGAACTTTGGAGAAGCAGGCAGAAAGATTTATCTGAATTTTAGGTTGGATCTCTCTCTTGCTGTTTTCTTGACATTGCATTGTGTGCATCTGTGCATGTGTGAGAGTGTCTTTGTGTATGCATATGTGTTGTGCAAACTGTGTGTGTGTGTGTGTGTGTGTGTGCGTGCGTGTGCGTGTGCGTGTGCATGTGTGCTGTGTTCTATCACGTCATCTCCTGAAGAACGCTGGGTTTCGAAGGCAGGCGGCTAGTCACCTGCAACAACCCAACGGTCCTGCTGAGGCTTCCAGGCTGCTGTCAGTGTCGGATGCAAGGGTCTGGTCGGTGGACATGGAGGAGATGTCATTGACAGACGAGGATGGAGGGAGACTCTCACTGCTGTTCACTGCTGCACCTGTGCTGAGAAAATGAAGACCAACATGACTAAATCTGGAACCAGACCCATGTGAACACCATCAGAGTGCAGGGATGGGTGCCCACAAGAAGACACATCTTCTCTGTTCTGCAAACCTCCACAGAACTGACACAGGAAACTGAAAATCAGGAAGAAACAATGCAGAATTCCCATCATATGTCACATTTATTCATGAGCTAATGAATTTATCAAATTTCACTCCAAATTAGAAATTACCAGTCACACTGCCCCAACCTTAAGTTCCACAGTGTTGTAGCATAACTGTGATTGCATGAAGTCAAGGCATTTGCATCCTTAATTAGGACCAGGAGGACTGTATTAATTAGGACCAGGACAGAAAGCCACTGATTTATGGAGAGGTGAGATGAATAAATCTTTAATATAGAGGTCTGATCCCAATGTCTTTAATAGAGCAAAGCAAACACAAGTACTGGTCTTAGCCCAGAAACAGGTGAAGGCAAAGCCCTGTGACCTGAGGTTTTGATTACTATAGCTCTAGGAAGATGAAAGCGTATAAAGCATAGAGTATTAATTAATCATTAAATATAATACCAAAACTCAAATCCATGTAGAAAAGCCAAGCCTTTTGAGGAAAGTTAATGAAGGGAAACTAAGCCAGTGCACCCCTTTAAGCTTGAGTCCCTCCCACAGACTTGCTTGCTTAGGATCTGCAAATATTGGGTTATTAATCTGAAACCTTCTTTTATCTTACTACAAGACTGAATCTCTGAGAAGGCACTTTCAGCGAAGGCATGCTGCGATGTTCTAGATTCAAGAACAACAAAGGAAAAATGAGCCAAAAGCACTAGAAAGCAAAATTAAACCACAGCAGTCCAGAAACAACCTGTTTCCTCTTTCCCCATCTCTGTATTCTTTATGCCTAAGTGGTATTTAAAAAAAAAAGTGTAAGCTTTGTAGAAAAGGCTGCTGATTAAAATACCCACAGCTTAATCAACAGTAAGAATGAAGACTTGCAACTAAAATTGTCTCATTTGAGAAACAATAGTATGAAACATCTACTTGGTGAAAAATCATAACTAAAATGAAGGACAGATGAATTATCACACAGACTCAATATTAAGAGGGAAAACAAAAATAAAAAACTGAAGAGGAAGAAGGATTCAAAGTATGTGCTCCAACAGCAGATATTGTATGAGAAAAAAATGTGATAAAAAATGTACAAGTTACTAGGGGGGGTTTCAAACATTTACACCAAGACAGTTTCATTCATTTGCATACATTTACAG